GATGGCACATGGAGGTTCTGTAATGACTACCGCAAGTTAAACGCCATCTCAAAATTTGATGCTTACCCAATGCCCAGAGTTGATGAGTTAATAGAAAGACTGGGTAAAGCTCGTTATCTAACAACCTTGGATTTAACAAAGGGTTACTGGCAGGTCCCTCTCACTGAAAGAGCCAAAGAAAAGACAGCCTTTTCAACACCCAGTGGCCTGTTTCAGTACACTGTATTGCCATTTGGGTTACATGGGGCACCTGCCACATTCCAACGAATGATGGACAGAATTCTTAAACCTCATGTTCGTTATGCTGCAGCATACTTGGATGATGTCGTCATCCACAGTGCAGACTGGGAATCCCACCTCCCCAAAGTTCAAGCGGTGCTTGATGCTATCCGCTCAGCGGGCTTAACTGCCAATCCTTCCAAGTGTACGATTGGTTTAGAGGAAGCAAAGTACTTGGGTTATTCTATTGGGAGGGGTTTGGTTAAACCACAGGAAGCCAAAGTGGAAGCCATACAAAAATGGCCACAGCCCCTTACAAAGAAACAAGTTGTAGCGGAGATGCAATATTCCCCAGGTTATCTCCGCTTATGATCCAAGTGAGGCTCAGGAACAAGTAAATAATAAATCCACAGGCAAGGTTTCCAGCAGGTAAAATAACAGCAATATCCCCACAGCAATCCCAATAACTGGACGACACACAGTTTCAGGAGCAGAACTGAAAGCTTTAATCCACAGTGGCCTTTTAAAGCATGCTCCCATGCAAGGGAGGGATTTACACTCATTAGTACAGTAGCCAATCCTGTCCTGGTAACCTCCCACACATCTCCTCCCCTCAGCCAGCATCATAATCCCCTTATCCAGTCTAGCAATTCCCCCCGTTTCTGGATGTACCCCTAAACGTAGGGGTACCCCTTTAAATCCTACATCCCCTGATAGCCCTGATCTGGGTGAACAACATATCCAAAAATCACCCAGATCAGACCAGGGGTTCGGGAAATTTATGGAGGGAATAAAATGACCAACCGCACTGACTGAAATAGCCGAATACAGTTCCATGCGAATGGGCCCTGCGGTCGGTCCTGGAATAAGGGAACAAACTGAACGAAAGCCTCTAGCTATAGAGGCTAGGGAGGGTTCGCCTGAATCCCCTCGTTCGGTTCTTTCTATCTACCGAACGAGGGGCCGTTCGGTAGTTTGGAACCGAACGGACCGGGCTTGTGGAGGTTTCAGCGGTGTTCACCTAGTCGAGTGTCCGATTTGAGTTCCAGACACTCGACGGCAAAACACCGCTGTTCGGGAGTTCGTTTGTCAAAAACAAATGGAATGAGTGAATCGAGACACCAAGAGAAAGGAAAGAAAATAAAATAAGATATATATTTTATATATTTTTAACCTGTATGACTAATATATTGTATTGATTCATCATCCATGTTAATAACCCACGTCTTATTCCCATTCCTATCTTTATATTTATATTTATTTTTTATTATTACTAGTCTTTGGTATCTCCCCTCTTCCCCTCTTATTTTATTTTCTTTCCTTTCTCTTGGTGTCTCGATTCACTCATTCAATTTGTTTAATTTTTATGGTTCACACGATCGCTATTTAATAATACAACGAGATCGACTATACTACGCACAATATTTTTTGTCCGCTATATAATCTCATCCTTTTCTCTATCTACTTCTTCCTTTGTTTATTTATTTTTATCTTTTTTTTTTTTTTTATATATATATTTATTTCTATTAAGGACACAACTATCACCTTAATACAATGTGTTTATACATGCATTATTCATTTTTCATTCATATCATATGTACTAATTACTATTTTATTTATATCAATAATTTATTTCTCGATTTCTCCATCTGAGTACATAACTATTACCACTATAAATTTTGGTTAATCCACAAAATCTACAACTTAAGCTCTTTGTCTGCTACTTTATCCCTAGTTCCAATTGTAACCTCTATCCCTTATTTCATCTCAATTCACTTACGGCACTGATCACAATATATAGTAGATCATAAATCCTGAATTAACTATTAACATCCTCTACAAATCTGTTTTTTTAATCTGTTTTTTTAAATAATTCCTTTATACAAGAAACATCTAATAATTTCTATATATAATATTTATACAATTTTTATACGACAGTCAGAACACTTTACCAGTATTTACAACTTTAAAAAAACACTTTCCATATTTATTTCTCTATACAATTCTTATACATTTTTATACTTTCACTTTTTAGTTTATTTTTACATCTTAACATTTACTCTTATTCATTTTTGTCTTTTTAACCTGAATTTTTTACAGTCTGTATTATATACATATGTGTGTATTTCAACATGTTTGTATGTATAAAATGTAATTCATTTGCAATATGCCAGATGTGTATTTAAATCACGGCTCAGTATCCAGCCTCCATCACGTCTCTGATGAAGTGGGGCTGACACCCACGAAACGCGTTAGACAGCAGTGAGCAGGATACGGATGCAGTTTTGAACCGGCAGTAGGAACTCTCTCTCTCCACCGAAAAAGCATCCACAATCTGGGTACCGATTTGCCGACAACACCTACCACCCAGAGTGAGGTCTGGGACGCACGCCAACCCCATCGGCAGCCGGCAAGTACAGAAACTTATTCTGATACAAAGTATCCATATCAATCCTAGCCGTTCTTTGTGGCTATTTGAGAAAAAAGACTACCCTTCTGCTGGCAATTCTCTTGCAAACCGTTCCTGACTTATATTTTTAAATTTTCAGTATTTTTTATAACTTTATAAATTGTGAATACATTTCTCATTAGTTTTTTAACTATTTCTATTTCTGTTTTTCTTTTTAAATAGTGTTTTTTTCTAATGAATAATAATTTTTTACGTTTTTTATTATTTCATATATTTCCCATATGTGTTTAACCCCTTCGCGACCGAGGATGGTTCAGGACCGTCCTAACGGTCTGAGTTACTTACCTGATCGCCGTCATTCCCCCGGCGGCGATCAGCGTGGCTCCGGTTGTGGGGAGACTGCCTGCAGCCCAGTCAGTCTCCCCACTGCGGATTAGGACCCCTGTGGCCATGTGATCGCTCAACAGAGCGATCACATGGTCACAGTAGGTGTCCATGTGTCTGCCTGCAGGGGGACTGCCTGTGCTGACAGGCAGTCTTCCTGCTAGTGTAAAATCATTAAAAAAAATAAAGTTAGTGTTAATAAAAAAAAATTAAAAAAATTATATATGTGTATAAATATGATATATAGACATATATTATATCTATATAATATATGTCTATATATCATATATATATAATGTCATACTAAGTGTATTTTTATATTAATATGTACTTATATTAATATAAAAATACACTTATAATTAAATTACACACGTATATATATAATATATATAATAACTATATATATTGTATATATATATTATTATAAAATATAAATAATAAGTAATTTAAATTAAATATATTTTTTAAATAATAATAAAAAAATTAAAAAAAATTAAATATCTATATGAAATTTTATTCTAACTGTATTTTAAAATTAATATATATATATTTATATCAAAATACACTTAGAATGAATTTGTATATATATCTATGTGTATATAAATAAATAAAAATAATACGAAATATACATATGTCCATATACAAAATTACATAAATAATTGTATAAATATACACGTAGACTTCAAATATATAAATATGCATATATATTTAAATTCTACGTGCGTATTTATGTAATATTTTTACATAATTCAGTAATTTTATTGATTGCAATTTGAGGGACCTGCCTGCCAACCCAGGCCGAAATTCCAGAGAATTAAATTTGCTAGCATTGTATTTTACCCTGTAACGTTCTACAACACCCTAAAACCTGTACATGGGGGGTACTGTTTTACTCGGGAGACTTCGCTGAATACAAATATTAGTGATTCAAAACAGTAAAACATATCACAGTGATGATATTGTCAGTGAAAGTTACATTTTTTGCATTTTTCACACACAAACAGCACTTTTACTGATGATATAATTGTTGTGATACGTTTTCCAGTTTTTAAACACTAATATTTGTGCTCAGCGATGTCTCCCGAGTAAAACAGTACCCCCCATGTACAGGTTTTATAGCATTTTTGAAAGTTACAAGGTCAAATATATGGGTCAAATATTTTTACATTGAAAATGGCCAGGTTGGTTACGTTGCCTTTGAGAGCGTATGGTAGCCGAGGAATGAGAATTACCCCCATGATGGCATACCATTTGCAAAAGAAGACAACCCAAGGTATTGCAAATGGGGTATGTCCAGTCTTTTTTAGTAACCACTTGGTCACAAACACTGGCCAAAATTAGCGTTCAATTTAGTTTTTTTACTTTTTTCACACACAAACAAATATGAATGCTTAGTTTGGCCAGTGTTTTCGACTAAGTGGCTACTAAAAAAGACTGGACATACCCCATATTGAATACCCTGGGTTGTCTACTTTAACCCCTTAAGGACCAAACTTCTGGAATAAAAGGGAATCATGACATGTCACACATGTCATGTGTCCTTAAGGGGTTAAAAAAAAATATGTACATGTGGGGTGTTAGTTAGAGATTTATGACAGATAATAGTGTTACAATGTCACTATTGATAAATTTTAAAAATGTATGTTTTGAAACCACAATATCCTACTTGTACCTATAGCCCTATAACATGCAAAAAAAAAAGCAAAAAAGCACGTAAACACTGGGTATTTTTAAACTCAGGACAACATTTTTAATCTATTTAGCAGTTTTTTTCATTCGCTTTTGTAGATGAGTAAAAGATTTTTCAAGTAAAAGTAAAAAAACATGTATTTTTTTCAATTTTTCATCATATTTTTAAATTTTTTTTAAATTAAAATACATGAGATTATATAAATAATGGTATGTAAAGAAAGCCCCTTTTGTCCTGAAAAAAACAATATATAATTTGTATGGGAACAGTAAATGAGAAAGCGGAAAATTACAGCCAAACACAAACACCACAAAAGTGTAAAAATATGCCTGGTCGCAAATGTACAACATCGCAAAAAAGGTCCAGTCCTTAAGGGGTTAAAGTCACTGCACTTTAGAATACAGTACCAAGCAATATATATTTTTAACTTGTATGACTAATAGAAATATTCTCAGTGCACCACTTAGTCAGTCTGCCTGTAGCAGATTTAAAGAGATATTCATTTTAAATAGTTGTGTCATTATATTGATTCGTGACATCAACCTAAGTATAATATAGAAAACAGCCCTCTATGCTGTTATTCTATGCCACATAGCCGCTTCTGCTAAATAGATTATTTGGTGTATACCATACTTAATCTGCCTCTAGCAGATTCAAAGTCGTATACACCATACATATTGTTACATCACTCTTCTACAACATCTGAACTTCTTCTTTGTACCCTATATGGCATAACTATATATATAATAGCCATTTGTGGGTGAAATAGCTACTGGATATATTACACCAAATTAAGGTGTTACCCCTTTCAAATTACATTTTCTCAGACAGGTATTGGGTGAATTCCTGTCTTTGTCCAGTTCTTGAGCAACCCACTACAAGTCAGACTCCCTCAGCTCTGTGTGTTGCATTAGGCATACCTAGATCTACATAAAAAAATTAATGGAACCACAAAAAGAACGAATGACTGGGGAAAGCTAACAGCAAGGAGTACAATTAGCCGAATGGTGATGGGGTATCCCTTCACAATGTCAATATACCATTGTGGTTTGTTGGGATCTGAAAATAATGTCGAACTCATATGTTTATTACTTGTTTAAAACTTGATAAAACATTTGTTTAAATTTGTAAAACTACAATAATAAAAAAAAAACATTAAAAAAAATAAATAATTGTTGGAGACAATATGAACAAGTGGAATCCTCATTATTCTTGGGCCATATTTTTTGAACATGCCCCAAAATTAAACAATATTGGAAATGCCTTTACAAAAGTATCAGTACCATTGCAGATTCCACTATAGCCTTGACCCCAGAAATTAAAACAAAAAAATCAATCATGTTGAGTCATTAGTTAATAGCGGCCATGTCAACAATTCCCAAATATTGGAAAACAATGAATATTGCATCTGTTAAAGAAATCCTACATTTAACTTTTAAAAATAAAAGATGCAAATTAATATTTAGACAACCATAAACTAAAACAAGTATTTTTAGACATGAATGGGCAATGTGAGCGTCAAGCATGAATATTGTATGTTATTATTATTATGTTATTATTTATATAGCGCCAACAAATTGCACAGCGCTTTACAGTGGATGGACGAACAAACATGGAGTTGTAGTCAAACAAGTTGGACACACCTGAACAGAGGGGTTAAGGGTCTTTCTCAATCAGCTTACATGCTAGAGAGAGTGGGGTAAAGTGACACAAAAAGGTAAGGATATTATTAGACTGACAGCTATGTAACTATGTAATGACAGTTGCAAAAAGGAATCAGTTGGGAGCTATTAACAGTTTAATTGATACGCTTTTATGAAAAAGTATAAAGTGATGGTTTCCACTCGACCAATTGTACATAGTTTTGTTTTTGTTTTTTTGACAATCTGTTTTTATTGAGGTATTACAACAAGTTAACAAATAGCAAACTATAGTGAAAGTAATGTGAGACCAACAATTGGTATTCGGCATATTGATATCAAGGGACCAGACACACACATGAATGTAATCGCAAAGTTCGAGTTAACCAGCATAACTATCCTTCAGCAGTCTTTTCAGGGTAAAGAGTGCTTGGCTACCAGGATCTCATGGACCGTACATCGGTAATGCAAATCTGTGTATGTCTATAGTGGACTGGGAGTTAGGGCTCTGACCTGGTGAGAGTACCTAGACTTCAAGATGCAAGCAGTAAATGTATGCAGTAAAACTAAGTGTGCTCCAGGTATTTGGGGGCCATGGTGAGTTACTGGTATAAGGCCATGCAGAATGACCTGTTGTTGTATAAATTACTCCGAGCTGAGAAGCTGGCGTGCGGGGCATCCTCTTTGGTGGGGGTGACTGATCATGTATGTTATAAGAAAAGGGGGGAGGGAGGCAAAGAAGGAGGGATGGGGTAAAAGCTTAGCCTTCCCTATTACCTGTTGAGGTATTCAAACGCCATCTCTGAATTCAAACGCCAAACTTATACACATATACACATCTGCGTTCAAATGTTGCCCTGGTGCCCAAGTCTGGCTACATTTGTCTAGGCGCCCATGTAGGTTTGCAGTCAAGGATTCTGTGTGTGAATCTGCACGTTTCAGTGTATATATATTTCTGTATGTATGTCAGTGTTTTTATATGTATGTGTGTATATGTGCATACATCTCTGAATTCAAACGCCAAACTTATACACATATACACATCTGCATTCAAATGTTGCCCTGGTGCCCAAGTCTGGCTACATTTGTCTAGGCGCCCATGTAGGTTTGCAGTCAAGGATTCCATGTTGTAGATCTCGCCTATTCTGTCTACCCATTGCCAGATGGTGGGCGCACCCTTCTGCTTCCACAGTGTGGGTATTAGAGACTTTGCGGCTGTCAGGAGATGTTTTGTGAGTGACTTTTTATATGTTTTTAATTACACGTCTGTATGGCAAAGTAGCATGGAAAGGGGCTGGAGTGGTAGGTCGGAATCTGTGATCTGCCAGATCTTCCTGGTTACCATCTTCCAGAAAGGGGCTATGTCAGGGCAGTTCCACCATATGTGTAGAGCTGTACTGGTGGCGTGTCCACATCTCCAGCATTTGCCTGATATGTCTGCGTTAATGCGGTGTAGTGCGTCGGGTGTTCTGTACCTGTGGGACAGCAGCTTTAAGCTTGTCTCCTGATACAGCATGTATGTGTGGGTGAGTATGAGAATTTTGTCCAGTCTTGACCGATCGAAGTGACGCCTGTCTCCCTTTCCCATTTAGCCATGTATTTCAGAACAGGCTTAATTTCTCCTGCAGAAAGATCCCCTTCTCTATGTTTCGCCTAGCCATGCAAAGGCTTTCGAATTGTGTGAGGTTTCTGTGGAGAAGCCGTTTACAGGGAAAAGCCTTACAGTAGGCCCTCAGCACCCTGTCACACTGCAAAGATTGTAAAGGAATGGTTTAAAGAACATGAAAAAGAGTTCAAGATGTTGCCAAAGTACAACTAAATAAAATTAAATGAGCTTTGTAACGGCACCCCCAGGCATAAAAGGGTTAAACCGCCATTTAGTAGATCTTTCCCTTCCAGAGACACAGGCACAGCTACTGCAGAACCCCAAACTCCCGAACAGGATACCAAGTAGCACTCCAAATTCCTGAACTGGAACCTCACGAATAGCTGCTAGCAGCTGAACAGGAAAAGGTTACTGGCTTATGCAACCTTAAGATTTTAGAAAAGCATTTGATTAAGAATCTAATTTGATTTTCATTAGGGTTGTAGATACTAGCAATGTTTACTAGAAATTATTTTTTCAATGTAAAGTAGGTCCTCTAGGAAGTAAGTGACACTGAGGATTGGTGTATTTGAAGAAGTGTTGATATGTTTACAAATAATAGGGATGAAATCTTGGGGTCATTTTTTTGTTGTATGTGTCCTTTCCTACCTATTTTTATTTGTTATTGTATTTAATTAAAAATGGTCTTTACAGTATAAAAAAGGATTGCTAACTTTTAAAATATGTATCTACGTGTTCCCTCCCAAATAAAACTTTTATCACCTATTTTTCTTATGATAGACTAGTTAATGACAGTATCCAAATGACACTTTTACCTCCAATTTTCTTCTTATGTTGAATACATAATACATTAGTTAATTATTGTATCTCAAATAGACGTTGATATTACTATGCATACTATATAAATGTAACACATTCATGGACTGACTCAGATGCCTGAGAAAGCTCAGAAGGGCAGAGTGAAACATGTAGATTGGTGATGTCATATGCCAGACCGGGACAAAAAGTTTGTTTTTATACAGTAAGATAAAGTATTTTGTCTCTGGATCTGCAGGCTGTGTGCAGTTGTATCTTCTGTAGATGGAAAAAAATGAGATGTGGGATCCATCACTCTTTAAGGACCTGATCTCCGTCTGTAGGAAAGTTTTGAGTGGTACTTAACCCCTTAAGGACGCAGCTTCAGAAGCTGGACATACCCTTAAGGACTCAAGCTATTTTTGCATTTTTTGCTGTTTGTGTTCAACTGCAATTTGCATCGCTCTCATTTATTGAATCAACACATATTATATATCGTTTTTTAAAGGACAAGATGGGCTTTACTTTGATGTGACTTATACATATATAAAATCTAATTTATTATTAAAAAACATTAAAAAAAGAAAAAAAAAGAAACAATATATATATTTTTCACAGTTTTGGCAATAATAGTGTGTGTATAATATGTCCAGCTTAGGAAAAGTAATTCAAAATAAATTCATTTAGGTTTCTTGTTTTTCAAAGTGCATAATATGTAAAGGATTTCAGCTTATTTTAAAAGTTACAGGTCACAAAATACAAGGAGTAATATAAAATTTAAATGTGAAAAAAATTTAGAAGTTGGTATGTTTGACTTGTAAGTTTGACAGCTGTCACAGAAAACAAAATTGCTACACAAAAGTATATATTTAAATAAAGAAGACATCACAGGCTATTTATTTAAGGGTATTTTGACACTTTTTACATAGCCCTTTTCCCACCAATCTCTGCTACATATTGTAGTAAAATTGTGTTTTTTCTGTTTTTTGAAATATACACATGTAACAAGGTTTTTTTTAAATGTGTATTTTGTAAAGCTGCTGTGTGCTATTCCTGGTCAAAATCCCATTTTGTGTTCAGCAACAACTGCTGAGTACAACAATACCCCCATTGTATGTCTTTGCCACTATTTTGGGAAGCTACAATGAAATATAAGAGGCCAGACTATTTCAGTTTCTACAGTTAGAAAATTCAAAGATGGATTTAATGGACCTATGTCTTATTTTGGGGCATTATAGTAGTTTGGTTGTTCAAATGACCACACAAAGGCCTTCCATTTGTGAAAGTAGACACTCCATGGTATCTCATATGGCATATATTTTGCCTTAACGGTTCACCATTTATTCACCATTATATGTCAAAATTTGTGTTAAAAAATATTTTCCGAATTTTTTCCTTAAGCATTACATTTGTGCTTGGCATTTTGTATATTTGATATGTTCCACTATGGTCAAACACCCCTAATTATGCTCAGCTTAATCTTATGAGTAAAACAATACCCCCAATGTATGTCTTTGACACTATTTGGTGACGCTACAGTGCCATAAAGGAGACCTGATCATTTCAGTTTTTAGAGTAGAATTTTGAGACGGATTTGCAGGGCTTATGTTTCAGTTTGGGCCATCATAGCAGTTTGACTGTTTCAAAAACTGCAAAAAGGCCTACCATTTGTGAAAGTAGACACTCCAGGGTATCTCATATGGCATATATTGTGCCTTTACATGTCGCCATTTTTTCGCCATTATATGTCAACGTTTGTGGTAAAAAAATATTTTTTGCATTTTTTCCTTAAGCATTACATTTGTGCTGAGCATTTTGTATATTTGATATGTTCCACTATGATCAAACACCCCTAATTATGCTCAGCTAAGTCTTCTGAGTAAAACAATACCCCCAATGTATGTCTTTGACACTATTTGGTGACGCTACAGTGCCATAAAGGAGACATGACCATTTCAGTTTTTAGAGTAGAATTTTGAGAGACGGATTTGCAGGGCTTATGTTTCAGTTTTGGCCATTATAGCAGTTTGACAGTTTCAAAAACCGCAAAAAGGCCTACCATTTGTGAAAGTAGACACTCCAGGGTATCTCATATGGCATATATTGTGCCTTAATATGTCGCCATTTTTTCGCCATTATATGTCAAAGTTTGTGGTAAAAAAATATTTTCACATTTTTTCCTTAAGCATTACATTTGTGCTGGGCATTTTGTATATTTGATATGGTCCACTATGATCAAACACCCCTAATTATGCTCAGCTAAGTCTTCTGAGTAAAACAATACCCCCAATGTATGTCTTTGACACTATTTGGTGACACTACAGTGCCATAAAGGAGACCTGACCATTTCAGTTTTTAGAGTAGAATTTTGAGAGACGGATTTGCAGGGCTTATGTTTCAGTTTGGGCCATCATAGCAGTTTGACTGTTTCAAAAACCGCAAAAAGGCCTACCATTTGTGAAAGTAGACACTCCAGGGTATCTCATATGGCATATATTGTGCCTTTACATGTCGCCATTTTTTCGCCATTATATGTCAACGTTTGTGGTAAAAAAATATTTTTTGCATTTTTTACTTATGCGTTACATTTGTGCTGGGCATTTTGTATATTTGATATGTTCCAATATGATCAAACACCCCTAATAATGCTGAGCTATCTCCTGTGAGAAAAACGATACCCCCAATGTATGCCTTTAGTCGTATTTCCTGATGCTACACTGCCATATAGGAGACCTGACCATTTCAGTTTTTACAGAATTTTATAGGTTTATGACTCATTTTGGGTTCTAATAGCAGGTTGCTTATTCAAACTTTCCCCACAAAGGCCTACCATTTTTTAAAGTAGACACCCCAGGGTATTTCAAAAGGCCCATTTTGAACCTTAGGGTGGAATCATTTTTTCGCTAGTGAGTACCAAGTCTAGTAGTAGTAAGCATTTTCTCTGCCTTTTTGACACACACTGAGATTTTACTGCATAGTTTACAATCCTTAGGTGTGCTACAGCAGTATAACGCTTCATATGTCACTCAGCTATGTCGTCTGAGTACAGCAATACCCCTGTGTGTACCTTTCCCAGGTATATGTGGATGTTGGAGGGGCAAATTTGAGACTCGGCAATTTGAGGTCTGTTTCAAACTTTGAATTTTAACGCTGGGTCCATGTCCCATTTTGGGGCATTTGACAGGTTGAGAATTCAAACTTCCCCCACAAAGGCCTACCATTTTTTAAAGAAGACACTCCAGGGTATTTCAAAAGGCCCATTTTGAACCTTAGGGTGGGATCATTTTTTCGCTAGTGAGTCTAGTAGTAGTAAGCATTTTCTCTGCCTTTTTGACACATACTTTGAAATTTTAGTGCATAGTTTACAATCCTTAGGTGTGCTACAGCAGTATAACGCTTCATATGTCACTCAGCTATGTCGTCTGAGTACAGCAATACCCCTGTGTGTACCTTTCCCAGGTATATGTGGATGTTGGAGGGGCAAATTTGAGACGCGGCAATTTCAGGTCTGTTTCAAACTTTGAATTTTTACGCTGGGTCCATGTCCCATTTTGGGGCATTTGACAGGTTGAGAATTCAAACTTCCCCCACAAAGGCCTACCATTTTTTTAAAGAAGACATCCCAGGGTATTTCAAAAGGCCCATTTTGAACCTTAGGGTGGGATCATTTTTTCGCTAGTGAGTACCAAGTCTAGTAGTAGTAAGCATTTTCTCTGCCTTTTTGACACATGCGTGACAGTGCGTGTCTTGCGGATAGTGCCGCAGACCACAGTCTCAAAACAATATAGCATTTTTTGGAGGGGTATGCTATTGTAGTAATTATCAAGGTAGAGGTGGTACCCCTTGTTCAGTAGCGAGTTCATTAGATCCCAAACTATTTTTCCGCTAGTCCCAACTACATCAGGGCAACCTGGGGGATCCCGGTGGCTATCTTTACCTTCATATATTCTGAAGGTATAAACATACCCACTGCTACTTTCACATAACTTGTATAGCTTGATGCCATACCGGGATCTTTTGGCTGGGATGTATTGCTTAAACCCCAGTCTACCCTTGTATTTCATTAGGGACTCATATATTCATATATTCTTTTGGGGAGTATAAATTATGCCAAATTATTCTTTATTAAAATGGTTAATTAGGGGGCGGATTTTATAGAGTTTGTCATACTGCGGATGATCTTTGGGGTGGCACTTCGAATTATCATTGAAGTGCAGAAAACGCAGTACTGTTTCGTATCTGGGCCTACTCATGGTCTGAGAGAAAATGGGAGTATTGCATACTGGGTTTTTGGACCAGTACATTCGGATGCTGGGCTTTTTTATAATTCCCATTAGCATGGTTAGTGCCCAGAACTGTTTTAACTCTGGCACACTGGTGGGGTACCAGCTCCCTTTTGTGGCAAGGTGACTTGTTGCATTTTGTGCCAGATACTGCGCTGCATAAATATTTGTTTGTGTAGCTATCTGCCCTAAAAAATCATCCCCAAGGAACAGCTCCATAAAATCCTGGGAGTTATAGCTGGTCACGTCTCCCTGAATACCAGGAGTCGCAGTGAACAGAGGGATGTCGGGGACAAAATTGTTAGGGGCACCCAGATATCAGCGCCAGGAGCAGTGCCAGGGGTATCGTCACTTTCTTCATCTGTGTCTGGCACATAGTCACCCTCTGCACTCTCTGAGGCAGTGTCGGTTGCCTCTGAGTCGGCTGCTAATATATTATATGCCTCCTCGGCACTAAACTTTCTAAGCATGGTGAAAGCTTAAAATTAACTTTAACTAAATAACGTATTTTTTTGTTTTGTTTTTTTAACTTTTTTTATACTTTTTTTTGTTTTCTGAATTTTTTTAATACTTTTTTTTAACTTTTTTAAAACTCTTAAAAACTTTCTAAAACTTCTAAAAACTTTTTTAAAAATGAACCCCTGTGGGTAAAAACAGGAATCAGATCACCGTGCTTACACCTAGCGAAGCAGAAATGCTTTGACTTAAAATAAACTACTTTTTTTTTCTCTTTTTTCCTTTTTTCACTTTTTTTTATACTTTTATAAACTTTTAATAACTTTTATAAACTTTTAATAACTTTCTAAAACTTTTCAGCTTCCTAGCTACACTAATGCTAGATTCCCCAATTCCCCCTAGCTTCAATCCACCCCAGCTAACTAATTAACTGAAAATAAAAGTAAAAAAAAAAAAATTAAATATATTTAACCCCTGAGGGTTAAAAAGAAAATAAAGTTAACCCCTGAGGGTTAAAAAAAAACCTCTGATCTCAGTAAAGTACCAGTGATCAAAGGGTTAAACTTTTAAAGTTAAAGGGGGTAAAAGGTTTTTTTTAAACTTTTAAACACTTTGTGTCTGTCAGGGACACAAAGTTTCAAACGATCCGTCTCTCTCCACTTC